CTTTTTTGTTTTTGTTAGATTTGTTCCTACTGGCATGTGACCCTCTGCCCTACTCTCAAGCCTTTTACAGCTTCTTCTAGTTCTTTTATTTTCTTCTCCTTTTACTGTATATATTGTATTAATTATTTTCTTCTCCTTTTATTTATTATAATGAAGACAGATTGTGAATGTTGTGTTTCAAGAGATCTTCAAAACAGAGCTGGGTAGTGTATAACCAAAAAAATACTCAAGTAATAGTATTATTACTCTGTTATATATGTATATATAAGGAGAAGTAAGAAGTAGTCTTCTTAAAAGTCTCAAAGAGTGAAAATGATTTATTGTAAATATTACTCATGAGCCAAGTAACTGTTTGATAATTAAAATTCATTGGTGAAAATTATGCTAATGCATAGTTATTCTTGTGACTTTTGTATTTATATTAATAAAGTCAATTTTACATCAAGTGAAATTATAAAAAGATGCGAAAGCAGGGACATACATTTTTTTTTCAAATGTTTTTTTTTTTTTTTTTACAAGTGGCCCATTTGTAAACATATACATATATATTAATAAATAAAACAAGTAAACAAGCCTTTAAGACAAACACTGAAATTAGTTTTTTTCTGTGATCTTCAGGAAATGTTCAGTCAGACTTCTCCACCTGTTGACAGGTATTTTTGTTCACTGTTCATGACCAACGTAAATTAATTCGTCTGGAACATTTTTTTAAAGAGTTCTTTTTTTGTGAAATCTCAAAATCAATATTGTATTTAAAAAAATTATCATTTAGTTTTTTTCAGTTTTGTGTTATTTAGTTTACTTGTTGGAATTTATAATTTTCTTTAATGGGAGGGTATGTAACCTTTCAAGCACAACTGTACAAACTCAGACTTACCTTTTTCAGGATTTTCTCTTTCAGAACAGGGTCATTCAGATCCATGGAGTCCTCTGCCTTCAGTCTCATCTTTACTACATTTTTGAAAACTGATTAAACAAGAAGAGGAGATGTTTGATTAGATTTTAACTGATTTTGTAAATTAAAAGAAAATAATTTTAATTAAATAATTTTTGGGAATAAAAATGTTTGTACAATTAAGACTAATTGTTCAGTTGTAATTTTTTTTCTTTAGTTTTTAAAGTGGAGTAAAATAATCACCATGAACACTGTAGCAGACAAATGGCAATCTTTGTTCACATGATAAAAATTTCCATTTTCCTGATCTCCCAGAAGATGTAGCACCACATATCACTGTCATTGAGCCGATTGGATTAATGACAGAGTCCCAGGCACTAAACAGGAAGCTGCTTTGATCAGACCAAAAAAAGTTTGGGTCTCTAAACAGACCAATCCATGAATGGCCAGAAGGTATTACTGTCGCTAACATATTATTTTCTGCATCATTCTTTACAGTTGCAAGGTCGACAAAGTTTTCCCTGCAGAACCTTTGAGCACTAGACCAGTTCATGTTTTCTGTTTGACGAGTAAATTGAGGTTCCTCTGGTGTCCCTGCGCAAAAGAGGGATGTGTTAAAGAGGATGAAGAGTTTTCTTTTTTCCAAATACTTTAATATTATATATTATATTAAATAATAAAAAATGTTTAATCCCCTTACCAGTGTTACAGATAAATGGCCAGTTTACTGCACAGTCATCATCCCACCAATTTCCAGCCCCCCCAGAACTTACACACAATTGACTGGCATGATTAAATTCTGGTTCATTGTAATCACTTCTCCAGTGCCTGTAATCAGCACCAGCTCCAGTATACCCATCCGACCACTTCCAGTCGATTTCACTGTACAAACCAATCCAGACGTCAGAGGTGTAACCAGCAGATTGAAGCGTTTTATAAAGCAAGTTATGTTCTTCAGAGTTTTCCATGGTGGCCAGGTCTGTGTATTTCTGTCTGCAGAAAGTCTGAGCTTCATTCCAAGTCAAAGGTTCACTGAAGAAGTGGTAATGGCGAGTGAAACTGGAGAAGAGGCTGAAGCAATCTAAAAGATTAAAAAAAACTTTGCAAATGTTTTGTTGGGGCCGATTCACAATCCATTATTTAAATGCAAATTATAAACAACCTCAAAAACTCACTGACTTGATAGAAGCATTGCTCTCAGCAAGATCCTTTCCATTATGCTTCCTCCCTGCAGACCTGTAAAGGAAAGATCTTCTATAATGAAGACAGATTGTGGGACTGCCAAGTACTCACCAAGGCTTAAGGCTTTTCATGCAAAATGTGTGACACAATGGTAGTCTGTATGCAAATATTAATGTCAAACCCATCACAAAAGTTTGCCTACATGCAATTCTCCGGTGTTCCATATCTCGCTTAAAGTAAAACACGTTCTTGACTATCGCTCAGTGCGTTACATGACGGTACGTTCTTATGAGATAGCAAGAACACTTACTGTACAAAAAGTAAAAGATTGTTGTTAGAGTGGTTCAGGCTGTCCTGAGTTATCTCTATCGTTATGCTGCTATAGGCTTAGAATGCTGGAGCACATAGCGACCACTTTCAACATTCTGCTTTTTTCTATCTCTGTTCTCCCATTGTGCAGTATTTCTTATTTTGTATTTGTCACAGTTTGGCTGTGACACCATTCCGGGGAGAAAAATATCATCTGTGCTGCTGCCATCAACACCTTTGTTTATAGATCTTGGAGCTTGGCCTGTTTTTCAGTGTAGTCCTGCTTCTCTGAGTGTGACTGACTGTATGTGCACTCTTTTATCCTCTGACCAGGGAACTGGCTTGGAGCTCATCTGCCTGGCTTTTCTTTTCCTGGACGGAGGTGCATGTGGAGCTGGTTGACAGACATTTTTTGTATCCTTGAGCCCCAATCGGCCTCGGAAGATAGCTGCTCACACTGAGCCTGGTTCTGCTGGAGGTTTCTTCCTGTTAAAAGGAAGTTTTCCTCTCAGTTGTTGCTACAAGCATGGTTGGTGTGAGGGAATTGAGTCAATGAGTCGATGAAATCAGCTGGTTTTCCTTAGACAGAAAACTTTGAACCAATCTTATTGTATTATCTGGTTGAATTCTCTCTGTAAATGCCGTTAGATTACATGTGTTGTGAATTGGTGCTATAAAAATAAACTGAATTGAATTGAAAACTAAAAAAGAAAAAGGAGGGAAATAACATTAGTTGAATATGGATGATTAGATACCAATCATAAAACATGAAATTGCTTTGAACAAAGTTGTTTCGTTTATGCATGTGTAAGTTGTGTGAGAATTCACATAAACATGGTTGACCGCTCCTAAAAATAGATTTTGCACAGTCTAGTGAGAATAAGTTGTTAGTCAAGATATGAGCTGAAACTGGAGTGGAAATATTACTGGTTGGAGGAACTCAAAACAGCACAGCTTGTTGATTGATAGGTAGCTGTAAGAGGGGTCTATCTCAGAACAAGAAGCGGAAGACCTTAGTTGTATTTTTAGACAATAGGTGTACAGTATATCACAATAGAACAGGATTATGAAAAAGCCTTTTAACCTAAAATAGTTGAAAGAATTTTGCCCTCTTTCAGACTTTTTTTTAGTTTTTTATTCTATTTGCCATCTTTGCATGCGGACCCCGACCAGCCCTCAGTTGTTTACAGTTGGGACTAGCTGCACATCCTAGCCTTTAAAATTTTTGGATGTACGCCAGTTTATGCTCATACATGGGCAATAAGTTACAGGTAAGCTATCTGATGAATTTACTCATTAGTCGTGGCGTCTAGCTTATCCAACACCTATGAGTACTTGTTGCTTAACTTATGCGTAATTCAACCAGAACCTATCTCCAACGAATATCGACGTATTTGACGTGTTCCAGACTATCACTGAATGTGTTTCTAACTTACAGCTATTGTAAAGTGGTATATTGACAGCGTTTCTATTGAATTTAAAATAGATGTAGACCAAAAACTTTCAGGGCTCCAGTCTGTGTGTTTGGTTTTTTGTGTTTGTCTCCCTTCATCCACCAGGAGGCGCCTGGTTCTACTCCGCCTCCTCACACACCTGCTGATGGTTTCCTCATTAACGGAGTGCTCTTAAGCTGCTGATTGCCACTACCTCGACGCCAGAGTGTTTGCCAGTTTTTGGTACTCTAGCCAAGCTGAGTTTTGCTGCGTCAAACTGAGTTTTTGTCAACCTGAGTTTAAACTTTGTTTTTTCTCTTGGTAGGAAGTCATCCTGCAAACTGTTTTTTTCTAACCTCTCTCCCTGTAAGGAACAACTGAGCTGCAAACTGAGCTGGGGTTCAAACAGGAGGTTTAGATCCACTTTCCCCAAGAGATCGTTTGAGCTTCCCACTGAGAAAGGGATTATTCTCCACTATGACCCGTTCAAGTACTGCAGGAAATCTGAGTGAGTCAGTTTCTCCGTTCACCAACTAACAACCGCATTCTGGGTAACCCTGTTCCACCCTCCACTGAATCAGACAAACACTGGAACCACGGCACACAGATAGGAGTCAAGGATTCAACAACTTCTCTGGAAACGTGAGTTGGAAACCAAATCCTCTTCTCCAAGTTCACTAGTAACGAGCAACACTTTTCCCCTCTGTTTAACTTCTTCCTTAAAACCCGTTTAACCTTTTCCCTGGTCTCTCTGTTTGGTTTTCTGCATTTGGGTCTGAACTCTGTAACACCATGACAAGCATGGGATTAATGTCCACTGTTATGCTGTTGATACTCAGTTATATCCATCAATAAATGCAGATGAAGCTAAACTAATACATCGATTACAGGTATGTCTTGAATATATAAAAACCCTGATGACTCTTAAATTTATGCTCCTGAATGCAGACAAAACAGAGGATAAAGTCTTTGTACCACAACCTTTGAAAAAGAAACTGGTCAGTCACTTCATTTGGATGAGATTAAACTGATTTCTGATAGTATAGTAAAAAAATCTTAGGTAGAAAAGTAGAATGGGAGGCAGATCTTTTAGTTATTAGGCCCCTCTCCTGTGGAATTAAACAGCAGTTTTAGTCTCTGAGGCAGACACCCTGTCTACTTTTAAGGGTAGACTTAAAACTTTCCTTTTTGATAAACTTTTTAGTTAGTTAGTTAGTTAGTTAGTTAGTGGTGAGCCTGGTTCTGCTGGAGGTTTCTTCCTGTTTAAATGGAGTTTTTCCTTTCCCCTGTCACTACAAGCATGGTTAGTGTGAGGGATTGACTTTGAGTAAATGAGTCGATGCAATCAACTGCTTTTTCTTAGATAGAAAACTTTGAATCAATTTGACTGTATGATCTGGTGAACTGTAAAGTGCCTTGAAGTGACATGTGTTGTGAATTGCTTTAAATCAGTCCTACCTATCTTTATCCATGCTGGGTCAGATCCTGACATTTGAAAAAGAAAGCAGGCAGTCAAGGTAGCAGAATAAAGTGCTAGCCTCACTCCATGCAGTTAGCCAAGCCTTGTAGCTAAACTAGGTCCTGGAGAAAGACCAAGTGTACTGTCTCCATCTGTCTTTGGACTGCTGATTAATTTTAATTTTCCAATCGATCTCACCTCCAGCTTCTCTTGGTACGTTTTTTAAGTAATTTCACATCCGTGACTCAGTATGTGAACCACCCACACTACAACTGTGACGACAGTTCATGCCACCTCAGGGTAAACCAGAACTGCTGTAACGCCACAATTTACCCATTGTGGGGCAATAAAGGGATGACAGAGATGGCTGTTTGATTTTTTTTTATTTGCAAGAACTTTTTAAAAAAAAGAACATTTTTGCATGACACATATGGTCAGCATTTGCATTGCAATCATATTCCCTGTTTTACATGGGAAAACAAACATAGGAATCATGACTCTGGGTATCCATGGCAGCATGCAAATGTTCCTTTTTTCCCTCATAGTTTAAACCAGTAGAGTCAGACTTTCTGCATGTTTAAATGGTACTTATAGAATAGAATTCAACTTTTTGTCATTCCACTGTCACAAGTACAGATCAACGAAATGAATTCTCTGCATTTAACCCATCCCCTTGGGGAGCAGTGGGCTGCCATTGTGAGGCGCCCGGGGTTAAGGGTGGGGTTAAGGGTCTTGCTCAGGGACCCAGAGTGGCAGTCTGTGGGAGTGGGGGATCGAACTCACAACCTCAGGATTCAAAGCCCAATGCCCTAACCACTAGGCCGCCACTCCCCATTATTTTATCAATACTTATCAATAGTTATCAGAACTTCTAACTTAAAATTTTAATTTATTTTCCACTGGGTGCTGGAAGTTTGCAGCAATTACTTAAGGTTAAAACATGATTGAATGGTGGAGGCAGAATGGTGATTTGATCAATTGTAATAAATAAACAGAACATCATAATTTTATCTAAGGAATAAATTAAATGCATCACTAAATCAAACTAATACATGCGAATGTTCAGGTATGGTACATATTTGTGAAATGATCCCAAATATGAGTTGCTAAGCAAACTATTTGACTGATTTCATGCACCAATTACTTAAGAGGTTAAAACATGATTGATACTTGAAATAAAAAGAAATGTTGTCACCTAAGCATAAAGTTATTGAAGGCTTAAAATATCTAGATATGTTCTTGGTTCAGCTAACCTGAATAAAATGGATGAACTACATCCTCATCATGCAGTCAGAGGCTCATTCTGAATAATTCAAATCTGTAAGGACACTTAAGCCACAGCAGAAAAGTGCAAGCAGTTGCCAAAATAAGTGCTGCCCCAACAGTGCCAGCAGTAAAGAAGGAGCTAGCATGATGCAGCAGTATGCTTCCTTGTGCAAATTCATTTAGCATAGGGATCGCCTGACATTCCTATTCACCATTAAAAACTATTAGATGCCCACCATCCTTTGTATGATGGGACATATGCAAAGCCTGCCTCAAAAAGTTGAACAACATTACACCATGTAATAAATGCAAATGTACAGTGGGTGAAATAAGTATTGAATATGCCACCATTTTTCTCAGCAAATATATTTCTAGAGGTCATATTGACATGACATTTTCACCAGATGTGGATAACAATCCATGCAATCCACACATACAAAGAAATCAAACCATAGATGTCCAGAAATTAAGTTATGTTTAATATTGTGGAATGGCAAAGGGATAAATGGTTGAACACACTTACTGAAATGTATTTAATACTTGGAACAAAAGCTTGTTGGCAAGCCTCCTGTAATGAGAAACTAGTTGCATGCATTGCTCAGGTGTGAATTTGGCCCATTCTTCCAGACAAACAGTCTTCAAA